AAAATAAACTAGTTTTATTTAAGAAATGACTTGTATCGTTAAAGTTTCTTCGGGAAGAATTTTTACGGAAAATTAACTAACGACAGAGACGTAACAGTATTTATGATACTCATTAAGTTCCTCGCTACAAGCTAAGCCTACATTATATTTTCATAAAGTTTTGTCAAATAATGAATTTCCCTACAGCCAGTACAGGTAAGTAATGCTTCAACCAGATCACACAAGATTAAAGGTTGAAACTCCATCTCCTTATTTAAAAAAATATAACATATTTCTTAAATTTATTTTTTATCTTACCTAATGACAAAAATGAATTCATAATATTTTGAAAGCAATTCAGTAATATAATAATAAGTACAACAAAGCATATCATATCATGAACACTTGAAACGTCTTTCTCTAAACGATCCCACTATTCATAAAGAGTTATAAAATCGATTTAAAGTACCATATATATTGTACAAATAAACTACTTACAAAACTTTGTTCTGCATATACCTAAAACAAAATCTTAGAAGACTAGAATTTATTTATATTTTCATAGTATCAGCATAACAGATGAAAGTATTATCGTTTTTTTGTGTAACGCTTCTTTCGCTCCACAAAATTATTTGAAAAAAAAAACAGTTTAATTGAAAATCCTATATTGAACATCCAAGTTGCTTAGATTAAACTTTCAGAAGCCAAACTGTTTTTTGTAATAAGTAAGTTTAAAATAATAATAATGGTTAATAATTACAATATTCGAACTTGGGTAAAACGTTTCTAATTGAGAGAAGATGCGACCAAGGTTGAGAAATGCCATTTTTTCTGTGGTCAATAAAATTCGAATTACAAAATGTGGATCTAATATCTAATTAAAGTATTAATACTGGTAGTAATTTAACAATTACGAAGCTAAAGAAAAAATGTTTTCAGTCTACTTTGTGCTGAAATAGCACATATTGGCATAACCTTAATAAACTTTTACATATGACGTAGTTGTTTGATAGTCCCCCATGAAATAGCAGTAAGTTTACAGACTTACAACACTAAAATCTGGGGTTTGTTATTATATAAAAAGTTAATTCTATATTGTAATGAAATAATTCCAAAGCAAGAAAAAAACGTTTAAATTAGGACAGCTTTCAAATTTTATTCTCCTCTTTTTTCACAAACACCTCAAATGTAACTGAATGAACGTGTACTAAAATATCAGACAAAATTAACTTGGAACTTATGTCCCGGCTAGATCTCAAAGGTTCCTACCCTTTTATAAATTAACCACGGTTAAAGTTATCTTGGAACTTATGACCCGGCTGGATCTCAAAGGCTCATACCTTTTTTTTTTAATTAACCACGGTCAAAGTTATTTTGGAACATATGACCCGGCTAGATCTCAAAGGCTTTCTTCTATTTCTTGAACTGACCGCGGTTAAAATTATCTTTTAACTTATGGCCCAGCTATAGCTCAAAAGGTTCTTACCTTTTGTTGAATCGGCCACGGTTTTGTACAGGCTCCCAGATCACAGGCTGTCATAAGCATACTCTTCAGAACTTCTCGGTGTTCCTCTTCTTCCCATCGATATTCCACGTTGTCAACCAGCGTGAAGAACCTGCTTCGAAGTCTGTCCAATTGAAATTGGAAAACAAATAAAAAATACTGATTATACCCTAACCGACGAGGAAGGTTAAAATACCTTATGTCTGGGGAACCTTAATTATTTGTATAAAGTTTGTGTAGATTGAAAAATTCCTACCGAATATAAGACCAAATTGCAAAAATAAGTACTAAGTTCAAGAATAAAGTAATAAAACAATTGAATGGTTTTAAACAACTGAAAGTAAGTAATGGCATTTATGGAAAGATTGTTATAAAAAACTAACTGAAAATATGTGGAGAGATCAGTGGCAAGGATGGCATTTTTCAGGATATTCATAACTCGGCTGTACTCATCAGGAGAGAGTGTGGCGAAAATGTTGTGACCCTGTAAAGGATAAATAGATCAAAATAAATGAAAATCTCCACAAGAACATTGATTATTAAGGGTCAATTATCATTGTATTCTTCAGCTAACGTTTCAAACTTAACACTACAAAATATTCATTTAAGGATTTAAAATGTAATTAGTCCCCCTCCCCATTAGCTCAGTGGTGAATCTGAGGGCCTTTGGAGCTAAAGACTGGGTTTCACTACTCGTGGTTGGCATAGCATAAATAGTCAATTGTGTAGCTTTGTGCTTAGCTACATATAATCAAAATGTATTTAGGGTAAAAAAAATTATCTGCTTGTTGCTTCTGAAGTGTTATTTTTTAAAAGAAACGAAATCCAAAACAAACATAAGAGAAAAGCAGATTATTTCAAAAAATAATAAATTCGATAAAAATCAAAGCCCTATTTCGAATATTTTTGTTCAGTTCTAGTTGAAATTATATTGACTTACAAACGTCTACTAAGTATTCTGCCAGTAGTTTTCTAGCTTTTAGATTCCCTTACAATTAAACACTGTCATTTTTCTTTCAAATAAACCTTTTAGGCACACAAGTTTAAATTTTATACTAAATGTTCTTAAAACTCTAGTAAATCGTTATATAAATTTAACTTTATTAATTCTCCCGGTGGGACAGCGGTTAGACTATGAACTTACAACGATAAAACCCGCGGTTCGATTCACGCGGTGGACACAGCAGATAGCCCAATGTGGCTTTGCTATTAAAACTTATTGTAACATTGTTTATTTGTTTGTAATTCAGCACAAAGCTACACAAAGGGCTATCCGTGCTCTGCCCACCACGAGTATCGAAACCCGGTTTCTAGCGTTGTAAGTCCACAGACATACCGCTGTGCCACTGGAGGGCTATTTAATTGTAAGCGCCATTCTTACACTGAAGTATATTTAGTGTATAACAAAGATCATGTGTTAACTGGGTGCTATTTGATAATCAGATAAGTTATACTAATGGCTTACTTCACTGGACAAAATCATAACAGCGTGGTTAAAGTGATGTTGTTCCATAGTAGCTTTATTCCCGTATAGCAGTGCCAATGCTGAGCCGCTTCTATGGAAGAAAAATAAGTGAACGGTAAGTGTCTGATGACAGTAAATCCTAATGTATTAGTCAACCTGCTATATAGGTAGTGAGAAATAAAGACGAAGGGGTAGACAACGGTGAGTGATTTATTATTACACTTACTTTTGTTGAAATGCATTATTTGTTCCTCTGTGATCAAGATCATGACACAGGCATCCCACCATCATCCCTAGGATTTCCAGATCCGCCAGGATAGAGTTTAGACCACAGTTCTGAAATAAAAGAGCACTTACATTATTCGAATACTCTGATATTAAAAAAAAAGTGCCTTTTTGTCTTCTCACCCATTTTCTACAGAAAAAAAAATTATGATCGTATCACTTGACAATGTATCCAAAATTATACAATATTTGGATTAAAATTATATATTAAAATTCAGAAACAAATTTGTTTATAAAAGGAAAATGTAAAGATCAACCATTGGTCGAAAGGTTAGCATATCCGGACTGTGAATACGACGATCCATAGTCCGCGATCCGATACCGCGAAAAACGTGCTCCGCATTTTGGAGCCTCGGGTGATGGTAAATTCTCACTATTCGATCAAACAAAGTAGCTCAAGAGTTGACAGTGGGTGCTGTTCACTAGCTGCCTTCCTTCCCTCTAGTGTATAAGTTCAAAATTAGGAACAACCACTTGCAGATAATCTTTATATAGTTTTGTGCGAAATTTCTTAAATAATCTTTAGGCCTATTTTTATATGTGTCTGTATATATGCATATATAGTTATAAATAGATAACTCTACAGATTCTTTCAGAGTAACATTGAACGTTTCTTTAATAAAAATGTAAATAATATAGAATAACCTTGTTATTAATAACTTTGAATGATACGAAAGTGATTTTGCTTTAGAGAAAGAGTAAAACAGTCTTTTAAAAGCCACATGACCTGTAATTTAATCATGAAATAGACTGAGAGAAAACCCCAACAAATTTAAAAATATAAACCATAAGAAAAAATACTTAAAGTATTTTGTGAAAATAATACAGAGTGTCCCAAAACTCGGTCACTATTGTAACATTGAGGAATTAACATTGCTGTTCGTATGATTTTGCGTATTTTATAGATAATACCACAGAGCATTGATGGAGGTTTGGATATGATCTAACTATTGGAAACCGACATTTGGAACACTCTTTATGAAATAACCTTTTTTTAAGTTACATATTTAGGAAATAAACGTTATTTTGGGTGGACATGATACTAACTCTCATGACAGTTTCACTAAATTAACCACAAACAATAAAACTAAAAATGAGTTGTTATTTTTATATTTTCTATTTGCAACACATCTAACACAAAAAAGTTAATTTGGAAAACCTATAAATAAACTAAGTTAAAATCATCGTTTGTTTGTTTGTAATTAAGCACAAAGCTACACAATGGACTATCTGTACTCTGCCCACCACGGGTATCGAAACCCGGATTCTAGAGTTGTAAGTCCGCAAACACACCGCTGTGCCACTGGGGGCAGTTACAATCACGAACAGTGTTTTATAAATTAGATTATTTTAAATGTCTTGAACCATCAACAACATAAAAGTAAGAGAAAGTGTGTAGGATATTTTAACTAAATAAACTATATTAAAATCATGAACAGTGTTTTAAAAACTAGATTAATTTAAATATCTGTAACTCTCAACAATATAAAAATAAGAGAAAGTTCGTGGGATATTTTAATTAAATAAACTATAACAAAATTTCGTTAAATATTTTCCTATACCGTGTCTTTATAAACCTATTACAACTCTGTTGCGAGATTGGTTCAATTTATATCTCAGATTGGACCTGACGATATTTTAGCTATTTTGTTCATATCTTGAAGAGTCTCATAAAATAGCAAGATGTAAGCATTACTTAGATCACAATGTCGACTGTTCGATATTTCCTTTCAGATCAAACATGACATGACGGATGTTTTCCTTTTCAGTGTTGAATAATCTGTCGTAAAAATTACGAAAAGTATTTTTACTTTTAAAATAAAAGTTGGACGAATGTTGGAGATTTTTTAATATCAAATCTTCTTGCATAAACTTCCTAATGTATGAACCAGGGAAACACGACACAGCAATAAAAACTTGGAAGTAGTCTTTCGTGAGTTAGGCCTAATACACTGTTACGTGACTGCACTTCATCAGCAAGTAAGGATATTTTATTTTTATTCGTCTTCCAGGAAATTTTATATTTAATGACTCGTGATATAGAACGGGCGTGGCCTTCTATTTAACTTGTTGAATTGCAGGTAATTGTGTTTAGGGTTAGAGACGTGACGCTGTTTAACACGCTACGTACTTTCAGCTGTGAGCGCGTTATAGAAGTGACAGTCAATCCAGTTATTTGGTTCAAAGAGACTCTGTGGTAGCGGGTACTACTAGCTAGCTGCTTTCCCTTTATTCAGTTGTTCAAAATTAGAAAAAACTGAACCCTAATGGTCTTCGACCTGGCCATTTAGGTTGAAACATTTCAATTTCGTATTGATGGTACGTCTTTAATTAATAAATATGTAACATTATAAAGGAAGATGCAGTTTTAGGAAATACTAATAGTTAATACACTTTACATACTCACGTTTGTAATTTTTAAAACTGATTTCTCAATAAAATGTCCTGTATTTAGGCCAACCACTTTTATTTAAAAAATATTAACATAAAATAAAATGGAATCATTGAATGATTTATACAATATTTACAAACTTTTATTGGTTGTTGAATTAACGAGGAAGTTTTAAAGTAGCAGAAACCTTTGGGTATATACAAGAAATCTATTGCCTTGAATACATAATAACATACCATAAGGATTGCAAACATGACTTGGGCAACATTAAACGCGTGCCGCCAGTTGTGGTACGAAATATTTCTGTAGTTTTTTCTCACTGTCGTCAGAAATAGACAAAGTACCTAGCAAGAAACAACAAAAGAATTGTTGAATGTAAATATGGACATTTATTATCATAAGATTAAAAAATATTAACATAAAATAAAATGGAATCATTGAATGATTTATACAATATTTACAAACTTTTATTGGTTGTTGAATTAACGAGGAAGTTTTAAAGTAGTTTTAATCTAAAAAGAATTGTTGAATGTAAAGATGAACATTTATTATCGTAAGATTAAAACGTAAAACTGAATTAAGAAAGTTTGATAATCTGAAATAATGGAAAAAAAGTAACACACCCATATAGTTTCGGATTTTTTATTATTATTGTAAGATCAAAAATAACCGAATGTTCTATGAATGTAAATTTTAAAAAATACCACTGTACAAAATTTTAGACGTTTAAGTATCAATTTTCATACATCCAGAGAAGTTTAGTGTTTCCTTCCAAAGAAGTTCTAAAATGAAAAAAAAATAGCGATTTCTTGTTTTCGAAAAAGGATTTTTAAATAAAATAAAAACTAATCTATTTATTCATTTTAGTGTAATTTACCTTTGGAATAACACCTACGTATTATAAGTTCTATGTTGGTAATCATCTCTTAGCAACAGTTAATACCTCTGTCTAGTTCAATTACATTCTTTGCTGTAAGATACCTGCAACATTTGATATAAATGTAAATTAGTTGAGAACCTAATCTGATACGTGATTTTACATTACGTAACTATAATCATTTTAGTAGGATAACAAAAGTTATTTACAGTCTCATCAATCTTGAAACGTGACAAGAGCCCTAAATCCCGGAACATCTGGATAGATGCTATTATCATTTCATCTGATGTCAAAGAGAAGTCGTCAAACTTCAAACTCGTCAGCTGCAAAACTTTGGCTTCCGAAAGATGGCGACTCTGGGAAGTATTGAAATAATATTCTTGTCAAAATTAACTGAGTAATGCGAAAAATAACGTTTTACAGTATGATGTATTTATAAGCACTTGAAAACAAATCTTTACTTAAAACACAAGCTAAATATGCGATGGTAACAGAATCCAACGTTTCGACAATTGTTATCTAACGATCACAAAAGATTCTTTGCTCATAAGTTTTATTTTTAGATTGGCCTCAAAGTTATAACAGTTACGGAGAAGGTATCAGGAAAGCAGCTGAAACTATTTTATTTAAAAATCGTTACCTGTCTTAAGATATATTAGTTTTTACCAAAACATCATGGTCACGTAAATTAAAAACTTAGACTCCTAATCTCAAGAGAAGACCATTACGTAAACACGATTTAATATTTTTTGACGCTTTTCTACAAGTATGTTTTATATCAATGACGACATTGCATATATTTTTTACACTGCATACGCATGTGTCACTCGAATCTAAATTAATGGTATATGCGATTAGAAATTGCAGTAAAAAATATTAAATGTTACTATTTTTCATTAGATTAATAGTAAAATACGCTAATGATTTTCGAATACCCTAGCGCAGACATCTGTCAAATGTAAGATTTATATGATATTAGCTCAAAAGCTACAAAAACATTAGAATATATCTAAATGGTTAGATATCTGTTTTTTTTCTAACATAACCAGATTTCTATTAATTGTGGGGCTCCTTATCTTTCTTTCGAAAGTAGGTCCTGAAATTTTTGTATAAGTTCACGAACTGCAGGCGTTAACTGACTCTAAAATTTTTATATTTATTGAGTTGTATGTTTGCTAGATCTGTCTTTCTACGTAACTCCTGTGTATCTCATAACGTTTTAAGAACTACCTGAATTTAATAACCTTGGCACCTACCTCTACCTTTACAGGTAACTTGTTCACAACTGCACCTAACACATAAAGATGCAAATGAGTCGTCGCCGGTGGGAGAGCGGTAAGTCTACGAACTTACAACGCTAAAATCCGGGGTTCGATTACCCGCGGTAGACACAGCAGATAGATAGCGCAATGTGGCTTTGCTCTAAAACAAACAAACAACCAAAAAACGACTCCGTTTCTAGTATAAGATAATAATAAAAGCACTGGTTTAATGTTATTCATGCCTATCTTGTCTGAAAGTCGTCTAATTTTCAAGGAAAAACATTGTCTATGTCGGATTTGAAACTTCTTTCTCGACAAACATAATAGGTGACAGGTGGCAGTCAATTTGGGCCACTTGTATGACAACTGATTTCCCTTCGTGTTTAGCACTTGGTCTGCAGCTGTTAGATCATCTATTTAGTGACCAGAGAGATACACCAGAGCCATCTACAGTCTTAAAATCGTCAAACAAGTCTCATAAATGTCAGTATATAAATTAAAAACCACGATTTTGACGGTGTTTGACATACGTATTAGATATTAAACTTGTAACTCGTATAAAGACTTTTAAGTTCATGCTGTAATACCACATTGTTTCTAAACACTTCTGGCTTTTTATGAAACCCGTACACTCTAAAATACGGAGAGAGTGTAGAAATATTGTCACGAAAGTAAAAATATTGTAGCAAGCAGAAAAAGAAAAAGAGTAACTTACTAGAAGTTTCTTGATATCTTTTGGAGCTGCTGTAGCATGATACGAAATCACCTGAAACAATATAATGGATGGTGTTATCTACAGGCGAGAAGACAGACGCGCAGACATTCTGCTTACCTTTTAAACGCACGTGAATTCAAATTCTTAATTTACGGTCATCATTGAGTTAATAAATTCTTGCTTACTTAAGTTAGTTGTGAAAATAACTCGTCAAAGTGTCATATTACGAATCTAATCATGGTTTGAAAACTGGATCTTGAAAAAAGGTTCACTTTCATTCCTTTGATAAGTAAATGTTGGTTACGTCATAGTTTGCAATTATAATTTACATTATTATTTTAAATAGTTTGCCACGAATAAAAATATTTATACATTTTGTAAAATATCTAATTGCATGAAGTTATATCAAATACATCATACACAATAATTTTAGATGGCTTTTTCTATTATTATCATTATTTTATATTATTTATTTATTTGAATAGCGTACTCATTACTCTTGCTACAACAACTTTGAAATTCCCTCTTATGTATCAGCAGTATATCTGAGGACTTCTAAAGCTAAAACCCAGGGTTCGATACCCGTGGTTGGCACAGCACAGATAGCTTATTGTGTAGCTGTCTGCTTAACTATAATCAAACAACGTTGAACTAGAACACCTGAAAAGCAAGTTTAACTGCATACTAGACAAGTCGTGACCCATTGGGTCACCCACTATTCAAAGGTTATGAAGAATTCAAGCTAATTTCAATCTTGCACCGAAATGAAAGTTTATTTTGAGATAATTTAATTAAATATTACAATTCATTCATGTTATTCATAATTCAAGAAAATATATTTGATTGTTGATCGGGAGTAAAAGTAAAGACCATTTCATTTTTCAAAAAAGTGAAGTCAGAGTTTTCATGTATTGTGATGAATTAGTTCATTATGTTGTCTTCTTTCCTCTTAAACCTTCTACAAATAAGAAACAATAACACTTTATTTGTTCTTCGTATTACCTACCAGAACCAAGGCACATTATTGAGAAATTCTTCGAGATCTTGTTTTGTCATCTTACGTCTTTTAATGAAGATGGGAACATTGACAGGGAAATAATATAATAGCCAATGCTCGGCGAGAGGTTTTCGTTTATAAAATTTTGTTGTTGTTCTCGACTTGATTTTTATTTTATTACCTTGTCTCCATAGTTACCATTTGCAAATAGTCAGTAATATTGTACGTCCATTTTATTGTTGTTCTTTCTACGCGCCGTTATAACACATTTTCATCTCATCATTTAATTTCTGTTGTGCATATATTGTTGTATAGATGATAATTTAAAGTGATTCATCAGGTGGAAAACGAATAGATAGATAGATAAACCGATATGTGACGCCATCTAGTGTACCTAAATTCATCTAGAAAATTTTCATTAAAGCGACCCGAAAAACTGGGCTAACTCGGTAACCCGTGGCCCGATTTTAACGAAACTTGTTTTATTCTGTTTCTATTCTCATTTCATCACAAATATGGTGGTATTGTGCGCCGTTTTTACTGTATTTAATTACAGACAAGCACACAAACAAACAATCTCAGAGTTTTAGTAGTATATAGATAAATATACAAGTTTTCTATATTTGTACTCTGATTCATGATATTGTTGTTACTAATATAATGAATAAATGTAACTCTATGTAGTTTGAGTAATCGACATTATTATTTTTGTTATTTTATCTCTTACTAATATGTTTATAGTATAAGCAAACTAAACGTTCTGTTGTATTTCGTCAACCTAATTACTATCGATCTATCAATAAACTTACCTCAATTGCTACTTTCTGGCGAGCCATAGCTTTCTCCAGTTCACTGTACATCAACGTATTGTTGATTCCAAGTCCACAAAATAACGTGAAAGCCTAGAAGGGAAGATTAAGAGGATTTGAAAGGAGATACTAAACAACTTAGTATTTTTGTTCAATAAATTTTATATTGAAGAAATGACACGACACTACTTGAGTGAACTATTTGCATGAAAACATGAACTGTAACATTCGAGTACGGTCTCTCATCTTGTAATCAGTCCTGCCCTTAAGCACGAGCCACTGTTTGGGGCCTCGCACCGACGATTCAAATACAACCCTTGAAATTATAACGTATTCATTAGTTTCAACTCTCGCAAAAGTGCAACAAAATGTTTAACCATTTAAAATAACAGTAAGATACTTGATTTAAAACCCGATCTTTGTTCAATTCCCTTTAAACTACCGGCTAGCGCACAGCCTGTTAGTGGACTGTGTAATGTGGTTAAGTTATTGCTGTGGGGATTGCTAAGATCGTGGCTGTTTATATTTAGAAACACTTCGTTCGAAATATACATTTATTTTGTCCTTATTAGAACCCTGGTGTGATATAACTGATTTTGCTTTAAAAAAGGAATATAAATTCAAAAAACTCGACATTCGGTTTCATTTCAAAATATTTTCGGTACTAAAAATAAAACTTGAAATAAACGTGCATGAGAAACAGTCACTATGTTAGCAACGTACATTAAACATACTGTGATCGAGAATACCAAACATACGCTTGTAAGTTATAAAGCAAATTAAAGCATGACTCTTAATCATGAGACTAAGCTCATTACCAAAACACAGTACTTCCTGGCAGTTGTAACCAATATAAACTCGAATCACATGCTCAATTGTGTCCCTTAGCAATTGTTGTAGAGTAAATTAATACCTGTTGTGTCATCATTGTACATCATCTCACGTATATAAATATTATTTTCTGATGAATTAATTCAGTTTTATGAATTAATAATTAATTATTCAATGAACAAGCTGTAATTTATCTCTATAAATACCTATCTGTCTGACCTTGTATATGTATATATCACAAATACATTTATAGACGATTTGTCTGAGGGCTTATATCGATAATAATCGAATTCCAGAACACGCGGATGACAGAGAATAGATAGGCCATGAGTAAAAGTTTACCACGCCGCCTTGAACATGTTTTGGAAGTTAATAACGTAGAAAAATGGTTGATACGACAATCAGACTTAATCATGCAACAGTTTGTCACAAATCAATCATTTAAAGTTTTGAACTTCTTTGGATTAAATTTCCTCCCCTGGTGGCTCAGCGGTAAGTTTGAGGGTTAATAACGATAAAATTCTGGGTTCCATATCCGTGGTATTACTTGTGTAATTTTGGGCTTAAAACCAAACAAGCAAACCATCTTAAGATAAGATTGTTACATATCATGTCACGTGACCTTCAAGATGAGACTTACATATTCTGTCACGTGACCTTTAAGATGAGATCACGTGACAGGATATGTAACAATCCTGTCTTGAAGGCCATAGGACAGAATGTGTAACAACTTCATTTTGAAGGTCACGTGATAGGATATGTAACAATCAATATAGTAAAGTGTTACTTTTCACACAATTTTAATATAGTAAAGTGCTACTTTTCACACAATTTTAATATAGTAAAGTGTTACTTTTCACACATGTTCTAAGGAAAATAACTTTAGAAACGTTGGATAATTGTACTGATAATAGGCGCATCGTTATGTAATATAATTATTCTTGAGGTTTTTGTCGTTTTAGCGCAAAGCTTAACAATGGGTTATCTGCGCTCTGTCAACCGCGGGGAATCGAACCCGGATTTTAGCTTTGTAAGTCCTTAAACTTGCCGCTGATCCATCGAGGGAACTACTTTTTTTATAGAAAACGTAATCTCGTTTGTAAAGAGGAACATTAATTCAAACTAAAAACAGGATCAAAATAAAATTATAGGAACACGGCACTTGTGTCAAATATATTCATTAAAAACTCAGTTAAAATAACGATTAAAAGTATACAATACTTTAAAAAGTGTTGAAGATAGATGATTTAAGTGTCAATTTAAGTGTTGACGCCTTCAACACTTAAATTATTGTGTTCTTTTAACAGAGTTTTTTTTAATAAATTTCAAATTATTATATAAATTCAGAAACAAGGTTCTTTATTTTGCCTTAGTGGGCCAGGTATGGCCTAGTTGTTCTCGGGCTGTGGATCCAAGGGTTCATAGTAGGCACTCCGTTGCCGTAGAAACGCACTCCGCACTTTTGGCCGTGGATGGGCTATAAGAGTTACTATTATATCTCATTATTCTGTCAGGTAAGAGTAACTCCAAAGTTGAGGGTGGGTATTATTGACTACCTACCTTCCCTCTAGTCTCATCTTGAAGGTGATGTGACAGGATATGTAAGAATCTCTTCTTCAAGACCACATGATAGAATGTGTAACAATCTCATTTTGAAGGCCACGTGATAGGATATGTAACAATCTTATCTTGAAGGTCAAGTGACAGGATAGATAACAATCTCATCTTCAAAAAATTGTGTGAAAAGTAACACTTTACTATATTAAAATTGTGTGAAAAGTAGCACTTTACTATATTAAAATTGTATGAAAAATAACACTTTACTATATTAAAATTGTGTGAAAAGTAACACTTTACAATATTAAAAAGAAAAAACGACCGTCTTCATGCTACAAAGTAATCCGGCAAAACAAACTTTATTATTATTTTTTTTTTTTTATAGAACGGAAATTAACAACTAAAAAAAGTAGGTTTATTCTTCTTTCTCAAATCCTTCTCAGGAAAGAAGTTTGTTATTAGAATTCAGTAGTTGTTATTTTCTTAACAGGCACTCGATGTTATTTTAGCGTTATAAATGTGTGCCTGCGATATTTTCTTTTAAATTAGAAATATTCTTGTTTTTTTGTTGTTGTTTAATTTGATTAAACTCGACACGCTTTTAGACTATCCTCTGAGAGAAATTGGCCCTAGTCGTTAAAACAAAACACGGAACTGCGCACCACGAAAGGGAAAGGAACAAGTTAACTGGATTATATATCACCAATAAACATAGACGTGGGATCAAATAATCGAATTTAATGAGATTGCCATATATATACTAAAAATGGACTTGATTTTAAATGAGAGACTGTCATAATTTTAGACATTTCATTTTTTCTCGATTTTCAAGTTCCACTAGTTTCACATAGTTCTTTATGTCTTCTAACATTCAACTGATTTACGAAACCAGTTTCTTCAAGAACACAAAATTTCATTTCTTTGAAGTAGCCAGGGCGTGGCCTAATATTAGAATGCCTGGACTGTAAATCTGGGGATCCATGGTTCGCGTCCCGTTGTTGTAAAAACGCGCTCCGCACGTTAAGGCTGTATGTACGCTATAAGAGTAATTGTCGAATCCCATTATTCGAGCAGATAACAGTAGCCAAAGAGTTGTCGGTGGGTTTTCTTAATTAGCTGCCTTCTCTCTAGTCTATCAATTCAGAATCAGAGACAGCTATGTACAGATACCGAGGTAGCCCTTGTGTAGCTTTCCGTGAAATTGGGAAACAAACGAATAAACTGAAGTAATCTTTATAGCACACACACACACATACACTCACAATACTTTAATTTATAACTCACAAAATAACTCTTGATATTATGTTTTACATTTAAAAAATCAAATAATTTCCAATAGGTTTGTTTGTTTGTTTGTAATTAAGCACAAAGCTATACAATGGGCTATCTGTGCTATGCTCACCAAGGGTATCGAAACCCGGATTCTAGCGTTGTAAGTCCGCTGTGCCACTGGAGGGGGGGGCATTTCCAATAGGATCTTTTCCTTAAGTCATAACATTAATAAAACATTACAGCTAATTGGTAAGAACGTGAAACAAATGGATTTTAAATTGGTTAAGACAATAAAACCTTCATAAAACTCTAAAGTATGATTCATTAAAATATTCAACTCATATTTAAAATTAATTTCTTACCTTGAAAAGTTGTTCGTCATTTTCATCGAAAACAAGACCATCAGTTCGGTTGATTATCGTAGCGACCCCTGTATATCCAAATAATATACCAAGCTAGGTTACGCTTCCAAGTAAATATACACTGCGATATGGTGTCACAACTTTGAATAAATTTTTGTTGACCATTTAATTCAAACTATTTTGATTTAATATTTCTTTTATATAAATCTAACAAAAAATACTGTTTGACGCCATGGAATGCTGATGTTTTTAACTAAAGTTGTGATATTGTATAAATTAAATATTTTCTGAAATTCTAAGAACAGATAATTATCACAAAATCATCTAAAATAACCTGAAAATTACGGACCACGTGCATACCTATAATCTTGTAATCCCTGTCTCTGATTGGCATGCACAAGAGTGACCGGATGTAACGACCAGATCCCTCAGGTATCTGGATAAGGATTCGACATATGCAGGATTGTATAAAATAAAAAAGATAAAATGAATTTCAGTTACTACTTTCAATAACTTAAACGTATACTTTTCGTTATAATACGTCATCTATGGTCAAGTGTTTTATACTCTGTTGTTTCTGTTCGTCAGATTAATATTAACTTTGAACAAAGCAAGTCACTTACATAGATCACAACTAAAAATATGTACCTAGTAATTAACATTGGTGATTAATATCATTATTAGGATGCGTTGTTTCATCAGTTAACGCTATTAACGGTATTTTCGACCGTAAACCCAATAATATCTTATGAGGATCAACCAACCCAGGAGGCTTAGGTTAGTCCTAAATCCACATGCTAAGCTAACAATGCAGAATGATCATTATAACAAAATAACTAACAAACAATTAAATTAGAGATAATACAAAATAAAAGCAGACATGTTAAATGTTCTAAATAACACTGTGTCACTGCACTGTGGAAAAATTATCACTTTTCCAGGTCGATGTCCAAGTAAAAAATCCCATACCATCGTAAAAGTTATACTTAGCTTGGCAAGCTTAGTTGATCTAGAATATTTCTAAATCAATAAGCTATACTGAAAATCTGAAATTGTCTTAATTAGAAAACAAAATAACAGTAAAAATAAAAAATAATTATATGAAATGTAATAACCAATACTGCTAATAAAAGTAACATAAAGAATAAGGTATAACTAACTTACCGATGTTGCTGTAAAATAAATGTTTTTTTTTTTTCATAAAATCTGTTAAAGATTGTATGGTAGTGGACTGTGAAAAGAAAAGACCAAGCCACGATATTCTGCTCAATGTAGTCCGTACTTTTAGCTGTATGAGTGTCACAAATATGGCAGTGTTGTCGTTGTTTTTTTTAGTGTAAAGCCACACAATGAGCTGTCTGCACTCTGCCCAACACGAGGAATCGAACCTCGGATTTTTGCGTTACTAGTCCTTAAACTTACCACTGATTCACCGGGGGACATATGGCAATGAATCCTGCTATTCGTTTAAGAGTGGCCGCGTAGGTGGGAGGTATTGGTAACTTATTTCCCTTCTCTGGTCAGTAGTTCTAAATTAGGCATGACTTTGCCGCAACCTTGAAGTGTCTACACTGATGGTTCAGTCTGTGTGACGCATAAAGAGCCATTCAAATTGAATATACCAAAACACACCAAAAACCGAATACACAAACTCTTAAACATAACAATTCTGATGTTTGATTTGGGGTTTAAGATTGTTAGAAGCGCGGATTGGCCATGTAATGGAGAGGATTTCGGAGCTGACGAGCCTGGTTCGAATTCGTGCGATACCACAAAATATTCTCTGCACTTTAAGCTATGAGTGCATTATAAGTGTGACAGTTAATCCTATAAGGTGGATGATGGATGTTAGTGTGCTGTTGACTGGCTGATTTCCCTTTTGTCAGTAACTTACAATTAGAGGCGACGGCTCATAGCCTTAATAGCTTTGCCATAAATATAAATTACAATACAAATAGAGTTGTCGTTAATTATATTGACTAGCTATCTTCCCTCTAGTCTATCAGTTCAAACTTAGGGACGGCTGTACGTAGGTAAATGTTGTGTGAAAGCAAACAACCAAACCGTTCCTTTGGTTAGTACTTCAACATTAAAGATTGTCGCTTAGCAGAGCCTGGTGGTTAGGGCGTACAACTCACTATCTGCAAGTGTGAGTTGCAGATTCGAATCTCGTCACCGAACATGTTCGCCCTTCCAGTCCTGGGGGCGTTATAACGTGACGATCAATCCCACCATTCGTTGGTAAAAGAGTAGCCCACAAGTTGGTGGTGGGTGATGTTGACTAGCTGCCTTCCTTCCAAAGATAAGGACGGCTATCGCAGACAGCCCTCGAGTAGCTTTGTGCGAAGCTCCGCAAACAAACAAAACAAATTATATATTGTTACGTATCCTAGGGGTTGCGTATAAGGTAGCGCTCAAGTTAAAAAACCTCTAATTTTATTCGTTTTAATTGTTCTATGTTAGTGTTTGTTCATATTAGTAATTTGAACTTTAAACGAGAAAAATGTTTGTTACTAACAATATTAAAATGCAAGCGTACAAAATTCTGCTCTGTAAAAACAAATCAATTGATAAATTATTTACATTTTCTTATCCTCCCTCATGCAATTTACGCTCATAAAAAGTTCTAACTGGAAGGAAATGTTGTTTTCCGTAGGGATTACCAATAATGAAGATGAAAACAAAAATCTAAAAATCGAATGTGTTCTCCATTGGAAATGATCGAGTTGTCAGCTCAATAGCTAACATTATCAAGCTAGTTTAGCATCTAGAAATGCCATTCTCCTCCGTATATCTGTTCTCTTCCTTGTCAAGAGAAATCGTCAACGCTCCAGTGCAATCCGCTCAGGAATAAAACGCCCTCTGAGAAGGCAGCACGGAGTGGAAATCCCACCTAACGAGATACTGCAGCTAATGTTCAGAGGTATCTTGAAATTTTAAAAGAAGGAATGTTTAGACGTATGAAAGGGCTCCGTAAATGTATGAAAGGGCGCCTTCTCTTTTAATTATAATAACCGTATTTATTATGATCATAATACGGTTATTTAGAGAAGAAGGGATATTCCATACTTCGCGAGCACTCTGGCTCTTCTATCTCTGAAACCCAACACGATAATGATGATCATGGAGGTGGTAATTGATTCTGTTACAACTTTCAAACGCAAATCGATTCCTAGACGTTACTGAAACCTTTACCACATTTATTTCAAGGGTCCCCCGGTGGAACAGCGGTAAGTCTATGGACTTGCAACGCTAAAATACGGGGTTTGATTCTCCGCGGTGGACGTAGCAGATATCTTAATGTGGCTTTGCTACTAAAACAAATTATTTCAAGTATGTTATTAATATTTCAATAAAATAGGTCTAATTAGCCCTTTCGTTGATTTGGCTTACAGATTCAGTGCCATGTAACATTTTTCACAATATTCGAAGATATTAACCTCATTATTTCTTAAACTATAAAACTAGATTTTCATTATACAGAAAGAACAAAAAAATGTCTTTCCTACCTTCCAAGATGCGTTAGATTGTTCGGAAAGTTATTTTAAACTAAATGTAGTAAAAAAAAAACCTATCAACTGGGAGAGCAAGCAACTTAAGGTCTGAAGAACCAAACAAATACTTAAATATAGTTAGATTTTTCTTGTATACGGTTTTATAGAATTGGCTAAAAAATCAATAAGCATTCATTTTCCTTCGCCTCCTGATGAATTATATAGAATGCTAGTGGAAAGCTACTGCATTCAGCTTCTACTTATACGACTTCCACGACATCATAATATAAAACTAACACATTCCTGTAATTTATATAAGATATTAGAAAATAAGGTTAGCTAACGTAGACGTCTGCTACTCATTTCAATGACTTACACGAGATAATGATGAAAGCTATCTAGTGCATTCTTCTTCAACTTATTTTTAAATTTAATATAGGATAAGAATATAAAACTAGCGCAGATAATTTGTATTTTACTTTACTTGTTAAACAGGATAACTGTAAGATGGTAATAAAAAGCGCATGTCTCCGGATTTTCATGATTTATTCACAGAAAAACTTCTTCCAAGACCAGCATTCACCTTTTACGTATCGATACATTGCTAGTAAATGTTGTATCTAAAGTAGTATTTGTTCCATCTTTTGGCCTTCGCTTCTCATTAGATTGTTTGTTTGTTTTTGAATTTCGCGCAAAGCTACAAGAGGGCTATCTGCGCTAGCCGTCCCTAATTTAGCAGTGTAAGACTAGAGGGAAGACAGCTAGTCCTCATCACCCACCGCCAACTCTTGGGCTACTCTTTTACCAACGAATAGTGGGATTGATCGTCACATTATAACGCCCCCACGGCTGAAAGGGCGAGCATGTTTGTTGGGACGGGGATTCGAACTCACGACCCGCAGATTGCGAGTCGAGTGCCCTAACCACCTGGCCATGCCGGGTCATGAAATTTATCCCTCTCACTGTAGCTGAATCTACGGCCAAGATATTTTTATACATAGTTTATGCAATTTAATGTTAAAAAAATATTGCCATCGATTCACTAAAAACTGATTTGGTTAGTAAAATTTCAAAGAGATGGACAAAATATCAAACTGTTTAACATAGAAATTTCCATAGAAAGGTATAAACGCGAAATACTATACTAATATGTCACTCCGATCATTTGTAATGAACATTCAGAGACCAGAACATGTACTTTCTTACACTCTAGACACAACATTTACAAGCAAAAACTACTCTAGGATCTACCATAGACTTAACAAATAGAAACCGAAACATTTTACTTCCCTAGAATACGCCAGTAAGTTAAAAATTAGAAACGTAAATGTTTTACTCCTCTAGGACTTGTCATAGATTTAAATCATAGAAACCGAAACATTTTACTTCCCTAGAATACGCCCAGTAAGTTAAAAATTAGAAACGTAAATGTTTTACTCCTCTAGGACCTGTCATAGACTTAAATCATAGAAACCGAAACATTTTACTTCGCCAGAATACGTCAGTAAGTTAAAAATTAGAAACGTAAATGTTTTACTCCTCT